AAAATGACTATACTGAGCAAGGCTATCTACAGATTGAATGCAATCCCTATCAAAATACCAAGATCATTTTCCACAGAATTAGAAAATTATAATTCTGAGATTCATATGGAACCAAAAAAGAGCCCAAATAGCTGAGGCAATCATAAACAAAAAGAACAAAGCTGTAGGCATTATATTATCTGACTTCAAATTATACTACAAAGCTAGGGTAAATAACACAGCCTGGTTCTGGTATAAAAATAGATGAATGGAACAGAACAGAGAGTCCATAAATAAGGCCACATATCTACAGCTGGCTGATCTTTGACAAGGTTAACAAAAACATACACAGGGAAAGGACAACCCTCTCAGTGCATAGTGCTGGGAAAATTGGATTGGCATAAGCAGAAGAATCAAACTGGACCTAAACCTCTCACCATGTACAAAAATCAACTCAAGATCTATAAAAGACTTAAATATAAGGCCTGAAACTATAAAAATCCTAGAAGAAAATTTAGAAAAAAATTATTCTGGATATTGGTCTAAGCAAATAATTCTTGACTAAGACCTCAAAAGTATAAGCAAGAGAAACAAAAATAGACAAATATGATTTAGTTAAACTTAAAAGATTCTTCACAGCTGAAAAGAAATATTCAACTAAGTGAACAGACAACCTGCAGAATGGGAGTAAATACTCACAAACTATACATCTGACAGGATGTTTTCTTAATATTTTTATAGATTGTTTACTGCTGGAGTAATGCTGGAGAATGCTACTAATATTGTACTTTTTTTTTTTTTGTATTCTGCAACTTTACTGACTGATTTATCAGCTCTAACAGTTGTTTGACGGAGTCTTTAGGTTTTTCTAAATATAGAATCATGTCTGAGAATCAGAATAATTTGCCTTCTTCCTTTCCAGTTTCTTTCTTTTGCCTAATTATTTTGGCTAGAACTTCCAGTACTATGATGAATAAAAGTTGAGAAAGCAAACATCCTTGTCTTGCTCCAGATCTTACAGAAAAAGCTTTCAGTTTTTCCCCATTCAGTATGATGCTACCTGTGGTTTTGTCATATATGTCTTTTATAGTTTTGAGATATATTTCTTCTAGATCCACTTTGTTAGGAGTCTATATCACAAAGGGATGCTAAATTTTATTGAATACCTTTTAGCATCAGTTGAAATGACTATATGGTGTTTATTCTTGCCTCTGTTAATATAATGTAAAATGTTTATTTTTGCATATGTTGAACCATTCTTGCATTCTCTGAATGAATCTCATTTGATCATAATGATTAGACTTTTAAATATATTGCTGAATTTCGTTTGCTAGGATTTTGTTGTGGATTTTTGCAACGGTGTTTATCAGGAATATTGGCTTATAGTTTTTTTGTTTGTTTGATTTTTGTGTGTTTTTGTGTGTTTTGGTGTCAAGGTAATGCTGGCTTCATAGAAGACATTTGGAAGTATTCCCTATTCTTCAATTTTCTGAAATAGTTTGAGTAGAATTGGTGTTAGTATAAACATAAGAGTAGAAAAGTTTGGTAAAATTCCTCAGTGATGCTGTAAGATCCTGGGTTTTTCTTTGGGAGAACTATTACTGATCAATTTCATTACTCATTATTGTCTGCTCAGATTTTCTATTTCTTCATAATTGAATCTTGGCAGGTTGTATATGTCTAAGAATTTATATATTTTATCTAGGTTTTCCAATTCATTTGTGTATAGCTATTCTTAATTGTCTCATTACTTTTTGGATTTCTGTGGTATCTGTTCTAATGCTTCACTTTTTTTTATCTCTGATTTTATTTACTTGGATCTTCTTTTTTTCTTAGTCTAATTTAACATTGTTAATTTTGTTTGTTTATTTAAAAAACCAACTTTTTGTTAGGTTTTCAGGTTTGTCAAAAAAATCAGATGGTTGTAGATGTGTGGCATTACTTCTGAGGCTTCTGTTCTGTTCGATTGATCTATATCTCTGTTTTGGCACCAGTACCATGCTGCTTTGATTACTGTAGCCTTGTAGTATAGTTTGAAGTCAGGTAGCAAGATGCCTCCAGCTTTTTTTTTTTCAGCTTAGAATTGTCTTGGCTATGCAGGCTCTCTTCTGGTTCCACATAAAGTTTAAGGTGGTTTTTTCCAGTTTGTTCTCACTCATCAGTGAATGTTGAACAATGAGAACACATGGAAACAGGGAGGGGAACATCACACACCAGGGCCTGTTGGGAAGTGGTGGGGGGGCCTATGGGAGAAATAGCAGGGTGTAGGGAATTGGGGAGGGATAGCATTAGGAGAAATACTTAATGTAGATGATGGGGGGATGGATGCAGCAAATCACCATGGCATGTGTATACCTATGTAACAAACCTGCATGACTTGCACATGTACCCAGGAAATTAAAGTATAACAACAACAACAAAAAATTGTAACAGCAAAAAACTAAGAAAACCAACTTTTTGTTTTGTTGATTTTTTTTTTAATTCAATTTCATTTACTTTTGATTTGATCTCTATTGTTTCTTTCCTTCTACTAATTTGGGGTTTGTTCTGTTTATGCTTTGTTACTTACTAGAGGTGCAATATTGGGTATTTATTCAAACTCTTTCTACTTTTTTGATGTAGCCATTTATTGTTATAAACTTTCCTTCTGGAATTGCTTTTGCTGTATTCCATAAGTTTCGCTATGTTGTATAACCATTTTTGTTTGTCTCAAGAAATTTTAAACTTTATCTTAATTTCTTCATTGGCTCATTTTGGTATTTGGGAACAAGTTTATTTTCCATGAATTTGTACAGTTTTTAGTGTTCTTTCTGACATTGATTTCTAGATTTATTTCATTGTGATCAGAAAATATACTTGCTATAATTTCAGTTTTTAAAAATGTGTTGACTTTTTTGTGATGTAATATGTGGTCTATCCTAGAACACATTTTCTATGCAGTTGAGAAAAGTGTGTGTTCTGCAGCTTTTCAATAGAATGTTCTGTTGATGTCTGTTAAATTCATTTGGTCCAGAGTTCAGTTTAACTCTAATGTTTTTAGTTGATTTTCTGTCTCATCTTCCCTTTGTTGAAAGAGGAGTATTGAAGTGCCCTACTATTAATGTACTGGATCAATTTCTCCCTTAAGTCTATTAATATTTGTATTATACAGTTGGATGCTTCATTGTTCTGTGCCTGTGTATTTGTATTTTTTATATCCTCTTTCTTTTGATCCCCTTATTATTGTAGAATGGTCTTTTAAAAGCCATTCTTGTATTAAACTGCATTTTATCCAAGTAAGGCTACTCCAGGTGTTTTGTGGTTACCATTTGCATGAATATATTTTTCTATCTCTTCGTTTACAGTTTGTACCTGTCTTTATAGAATAGTAGAATTGGTATTAGTATAAACATAAGAATAGAAAAGTTTGGTAAAATTCCTAAGTGATGCTGTATGATCCTGGATTTTTCTTTGGAAGAACTATTACTGATCAATTTCATTACTCATTATTGTCTGCTCAGATTGCCTATTTCTTCATAATTGAATCCTGGCAGGTTGTATATGTCTAAGAATTTATACATTTCATCTAGGTTTTATCTAAAATTTATACATTTTATTTAGGTAAAGTGAGTTTCTTTTAGATAGAATATGGTTGGGTCTTAGTTTTTATCCATTCAGCCACATTATGTCTTTTAACTGAAACATTTAATCCATTTATATTCAAGGTTATTATTGATAGGTAAGGGTTTACTGCTGCCATTTTGTTTCTTATTTTCTGTTTGTTGTATAGGTCCTTTCTTTTTCTTTTCCTCTCTTACTGTCTTCCTGTGTGGTTAAGTGATTTTCTTTAGTAGTATGTTTTGATCCTGTGTTATTTGTCTATTCTAGGTTTTTGTCTTGTGGTTACCATGAGGCTTGCAAATAATCTTATAACATACTATTTTAAATTGTTTATGACTTAACTGCAAAGAAAAGTAACAAAAACAAACTCTACATTTTAATACAAACCCTCCTTCCCATATTTTTTTAATTTTTGATGTTATAATTTACATCTTTTATGTTGTTTATCTATTAATCAATTTTTGTAGTTATAATCATTTATAATAGTTTTGTTTTTTAGTCTTCTTAAGATATAAGTGGTTTTCTTACCTTAATTATAGTATTAGAGTATTCTGGATTTGTCTTTTTTTTTTTTTTTTAATTTTGTTTATAGATAGGGATAGGATCTCACTCTGTTACCCAGGCTAGAGTGCAATGGTGTGATCATGGCTCACTGCAGCTTCAACCTCTTGGGCTCAAGTGATCCTCTTACTTCAGCCTTCCAAGTAGCTGGGACTACAGGCTTACACCACTATGCCTGGCCAATTTTTGTATTTTTTGTTGCTTTCACCTTGTTGCTCTGGCTGGTCTTGAACTCCTAAGCTCAAGCAATCCTCAAACCTCAGCCTCCCAAAGTGCTAGAATTATAAGCATGAGCCACCATGCCTGGCCTGTTTCCACCTGCGCCGCCTCAGTCAGTTTAATATGGTCAGATGTTTTTTTGTTACACAATAACCTCCATTTCTTTCAGTTTAAAAACTTAGTTTAGCATTTCGGGCAAGATAGATCTGGTGTTGGTGAATTTATTCAGCTTTTGTTTGTCTGGGAAAGACTATCTTTCCTTCAGGTTTGAAGGATAGCTTTTTTAGTACACTATTTTTGGCTGGTAGATTTTTTTTTCAGCACTTTAAATACAGCATCCCACTTTCTTCTGGCCTGTGGGGTTTCTGCTGAGAAATCTGCAGAAAGCTGTACTGGGGCTCCATCGAATGTGACATAATTTATTTTTTCGTGCTGTTTGGAGTATCTGTTTTTTTGCCCTTGATTTTTGCTAATTTGATTATGATGTGCATTAGGAATTTTCTGTTCAGGTTAAACTTGATTGGTGTTCTCTGAGTTTTATGTACCTGGATGGTGTAATTTTTCTCTAGTTTTGGGAATTCTTCTGTCATTATTTTTTTAAAATATGTTTTGTAGGATTCTTCTCTTTCAGAAATTTTTATTATCTTTTAGTTGGTTTATTTGATGCTGTCACATCAAGGCCAATTTTCATAGGCCTTCTTCTCTCTCTTTTTAATTCTTTTTATCCCCTCTTTTGACTATGTAATTTCACATATCCTATCTTCAAGCTTCTAATTCTTTTATCTGTCTGACCAAGTGTACTGTTAGAGCATTAGAATAATTTTTTTCTTTAGTTATTGTATTTTTTTGTTTGGGATTTCTATTTTTTGCTCATTTTGTTCCCGGATTATTTCCCAAATTTTATTAATTTTCTATCTGCATTTTCTTATTATTTTTTGAACTTATTTAAGATACTGAAGTCTATGTCTAACATTTCATAGATCTTCAGTTCTTCTGGGTCAATTGCTGGAGCTTTGTTGGTTTCTTTTGATGGTGTCCTATTTCCATGAGCTTTCATGATCCTTGCATGCTTACATTGGCATCTGTACATTAAAGGAGGCAACTACCTCTTTCATTTTATGCAGTGTTCTTTGGTGGTGTTAGACCTTTGCTCCTTACCATTGGAAATTAAACATTGGACTGTTGTTTCTTCCCATTCTGAAGAATACATATAGTGAGTAGGAGAACTAAAAACTGCCTTGGAACTAACTTATTGCCTTGTCGCTGCTTTCTGGTCTAGAAAAAAACTTGAAAACCAAACCCTAAACCCTACTCTGGAACTAAATTGCTGTTCTGGCATCTCTTCCCAGTCTGGAGGAGACTTGTGGTGAGCACTGGAAGTTTAATGTTGTCCCAGAACTGTGCTAATGTCCTTTCATTGTTTACCAGTCTGGGGAAACCTTAAGCAGGAATTGAATCTTAATCCTGACATTTTAATAGTTGCAGGCCAGAGAAAGTCTCCCTAGGATCATCAGGGCTTTATTGAACATCTGGCCAGTGATTTGGGTCTTCCTGTGGATTGTGCCTCACGCAGTGGTATGACACTAGCCAGTCTTTTCCACATGATGTCCTGCTGATAAGCACACAGAGTAGCTGCCAAGATTGGCATAGTCTTCACTACGAACAGTGTCCTTTCTCTCCCCAGTTAGCTCTATGTGAGTTAACCCTCGTGGCACTTCCAACATTTCCTATGTCTGAAACTGGAGTTGCCTTCCTATAAAAATTCCCAAACTGCTGGGGAGATCAAATGTCCACCTCTGTTTTCCTCATCTTGCCTTTGAAATGATGAGGCTTGGGAAATTCTCTGTGAGTGGTGTTGTGTGGGCATGGCTGGTGCTTCCAAATGACTGTTTCTCTTACCAGTTATGGCTTCTCTCAGTTCTGTTGGTCTGGGGGTGGTTTCACTTATCTCAACTGAGTTCTGGTGAACTCAGAATGGTATTCTTGCCTTGGAATCGTTTCTAGTTGTATTTTTGTTTGAAAAGAGATGCTGGGGGGATTTAATATTCTGCCATTTTGCCAATGTACTAAAATATCTTATTAATAATGTTTAATTGATTGCAAATTGAGATGATATTTTTTGAGATACTAGGTTAACTAAAAATAGAAATAAAAATCAGCTCCGCCTGTCTCATTTCCACTATTTAAAATGTGACTACTAGAAAAGTTAGACATGCATATGTGACTCATATTTGTGGTTTACATTCTATTACTTAGCACTGGTTTTTTAGAATAGGGGTTGGCAAACTTCATCTAAAAAGGCAGATAGTAAATATGTTAGGCTTTGCAGGCCACATATAGTTTCTGTAATATATTCATTTTTTTCACAACCTTAAAAAATATAAAAACCATTTTAGCTTATGAGCAAAAAACAACAGGCCACATGGCATGTATGGTCCATGAGTCATTGTTTTCCAACCCATGGTTTGGAATATCATGTCTTCTACAAAGGAAGAAAATTGGGCTGACAAAACTAAAGAAAAAGTTTTATGTTAATAAAAACCATATCATTCAGACTTTATTATTCTAAAAGTTTCAAATTATAATATGTGACAATTATATTTTCCAATTCACACAATTTGTAACTGGGTGGTGAAGAGAACTGAACCTGGGTAGTCTCTCTTCAGAGTCCGTGCTCTTACCTAAAACCATATATATTTTGTGGTGGCTTTTTTTTCTTTGAAATGGAGTTTCGCTCTTGTTACCCAGGCTGGAGTGCAATGGCGCGATCTCGGCTCACCGCAACCTCCGCCTCCTGGGTTCAAGCAATTCTCCTGCCTCAGCCTCCCGAGTACCTGGGACTACAGGCGTGCACCTGTGGTGGCTTTTTAATGTGTCAAATTGGCTAAGGTGAATTATATCTCCTAGAATTTCCTTTTGTGTATTTCCATTTATGTGACTTACAAGGGATATTCTTGGGAAATTTAGAGGGCAGAAAGGAAGCAACAGACATTCTGGAGCTCATGCCAATTGTTGCTGATTTGTAGACTCTCCTTGGTGGCCTGAATCAGCAGCTGGACTTGCAAGTGCTTTGTTATCTCCCAAATCTTCAGCGTCTCTGACAGCTAGTCAGGGTGTATTGTGTTTAGCTCCATGAGCAAGGTCCTCAATTTCTGCAGGATACTCAGACCACGTTCTTAGAAGAAATAAGAACTGCTGGTTTCAAATCTTTTTGATGGAATTCCACCTTATGTGTGTGGTTTCTAACTTTGCGAATTCTCTTGTTTTACATCTATCTCACTTTCTGGCTATGAGCTCTACCGACTAGCATTAGGTATGAAGACAGCAGCCTCGCAGAGATTGCTTAACCACATATATGGATTCACTAAAGGGATTTGCCTCATGAAAGTTTTTAAAATATAGTATAAAATATGCAAAATATTACATATTTTAACAATATACAATTATGTATATTCCAGTATATTTGTGCACCCACACTCACAACCCCCCCACACATATGCATAGTTTGTTTTTCCTTAGTCTATTTACTTTTCTCATTGAATTCTGAATAATACACTTCTATAAAATGAAAACGAGCTATATTAGTGTGAATTAAATTAAAATTAAAGTTGTTATTCAATTAGTTCTAAAATTTTGCTGTGATTGAAATAGCTTACTGTAAGGGGAGGCATTTTTATCTGAGATCTAATGTAGCCCTACGAAATCACAGAATTATTTTGCATTTGTCTATATTATTAGCAAACAGTAGCTACAAAGAAAGTTATAATAAGAATATATTTATTAAGTAGTCAAATATATTGAAGTCCAAAGATTACGCATTTTTAAGAAGTTTTTACCTTGATTATTATAAATGTCAGAAATTTCTTATATTTTTAGAATTCCTCTTGATATTTCTCAAAAGTAATACATCTAAGCATGTAATACCTGTTTTTATGCCTACACTGCGATATATTATTATTGGCAGCTTTTGCATATTTTTTCCCATTTCCATTGTCATATAAAATCAACATATGAAGGAGGTTTTTTTGAATATGTGGGGCTATTGTTTGATTTTACAGAAATAGTATCAGCATTATATAACGTTAATTAGCAACTTGTTTCTCCTATTCACCAATTCATCATCAATATTCCTTTAAATCAAAAGAAACACTTTTTTTCCCCAAGTTATCTTGTTATGATTGCATAGTATTGCATAGAATAAATAAACACAACTGATTTTACTTTTCTGCTCTTAGTGGGCTTTTCAGATATTTGTTTTTTGATTGTCACAGAAATACTTCCAGCAATCTTTAAAATGTGTTCTTAATTATTTATTTCTGTTTCTGATGTAGAGTTATTTCTAAGCATGGTTAAAGAATACTATATATATTTCAAAAAAAGCATATTAATTTGTAATTCCACTAGTAAAGTATGAGAAAGAAATTTTCATCCCATTCACTTCTCAGCAATGAATGTGTTGCACTTTTATTTTTTAAAATTAATATCTAAAATATGGTATGTATTTGCTTTAATTTGTTTTTCCCTGAAAAATACCAAAGTTGAGCATCTTCCCTTATGCTTATTAGGTTTCTGTTTCTTGAGTGGACAATTATCTTTCTAGATAAATCATAATATCAGTCTTGGTCTTGCCATTTTATCATGGATTTTTAAGAGGGTATTCCTCAATGTCTTTATAATTAATATTTGGTTAATACTTTGCTTATTTTTCAAGTTTTCTTATAACCAATCAGGAAATATTGCCCACCAAATATTTATTTTATTAAAATCTTATTAAATTTTCCTTTGTAGATACAGAATAGTAATACATAATATGAAGGACAATACCATTTTTATGGGTATACTGAATTGAGCTTGTTTATTGTGTTTTCTGGATTTATTCATGGTTTGATGGATCTGTCAAATTCTGAAAGTGGTGTATTAAGACCTCACACTATAATTGTGCTTTTATTGCATTGGCCTTTTATTTCTAGAGTGTTTATCCTTAGAAATATATATAGCTGCAATGTAACTTGGTGCTTAAAAGAATATTGTTATACTTCCTATGTAGATTACACAGTTTATTCTTAAATAATTTTTTTCTCTATATTTTCACACTTTCTACCTTGAAATCCCCGTTCTGGTAATATATTTTTATCCCTGCTTATACTTGTTTGAAATTTCCTTATCTGTGTTTATTCTTTTCATTTTCAGCTTTTCCTTTTAAAAAAAACTCTTAATTTGTTACTTGTAAACAAATTTAACTGTGGTTAGTTTTTTTTAACCCTATTTAACAGTCTAGGATTTCTATAGTGTAACTCAGAGTGTTTGGATATTGTATCAGTAGAGATTTAATTGGTTTTATTGCAAACACTCTTTTTAAGCTCATGCTTTCCTTTGTTTATGTTTATTGTTGCTTTTGCTTTTTTTCCTCTCATTTTACATTTTCTGGCTGGCTCAAGCTCCTATTTATTCCTTTTTTCCACTTTCATTTGAACATACTATGCAATTTTCAGTTCTGCAGGTAGTTCCCTTTACTTTTCTAATTAAACTATACTTCTCCATTATAATATTAAAAGGAAATAGTAAGTTTATTTCAGTTTTCTCTTCTGTCTTCCCCGATGAGACCTTTAAATTATCTTACTCTCCCACATTTATTGTTTCTTGCCCCCACTCCTCTCCTCTTTCTCCCCCACCTCCACATCTGTTCCAGGTTTTGCTGAGACAATTTAGAACACAAGTTCTAGGCCATGAATAGGTGTTCATTTAGAGCATATCAGTTTCAAGAAATAGTACTATATTGGTGAAAGAAATCCAGGTTATGCTATAGAATCAACAAACTCTAAAATATCAGCGGTTTAAGCCAAGGAAACTTTATTTATTCATTTCTCAGGTGAAATGGCTTGGTTCTATGTTCCCACTCAAATCTCATCTCTAATTGTAATCCATAGAATCTCCATATGTCAAGGGAGGAACCCAATGGGGGATGATTGGATTATGGGGGCTGTTTTCCCCATGCTGTTCTCGAGATGTGAGTGAGTTTTCACAGGATCTGATGGTTTTGTAAGGGGCTCTTCCCCTTCACTTGCACTCTTCTCTCTCTTGCCACCATGTGGAGAAGGTCCAGGTTTGCTTCCCCTTCACCTCCTACCATGACTGTAAGTATTCTGAGGCCTCTCCAGCCATGCAGAACTTTGAGTCAATTAAATCTCTTCCTTTTGCAAATTACCCAGTCTCTAGGTATTTCTTTACAGCAATGTGGAAGTGGACTAATGCACCAGGTCTAGGGTGAGTCTCAGGATAGTTGCTCTCTATGTGAGATTCTGCATCTTCACATCAACACATGAATTCATTTTGTAGGAGACTCTGAAGAGTCCTGAGGGCGTGCAGGGTATTACATGTTGAGGAGGCTGAACGTGATCATTTGGGTGACTCTTCGTCTTTTTATAAAGCTATCAGTTCCACTCTCACAGGAAACCAATAATTTTAAACTCACTAACCTATTGATTCACGAATGGATTAATCCCTTATGATCTGACCACCTTTTGAAAGCTTTATTTCACAATACCATGACATTGGGGATTAAGTTTTAATATGAGTTTTGGAGGGGAAATTCATACCACAGCATAATCCTTGTTAAAATTTGGTGACATTCTTTGTTCTGAAGACAACACAGACTTTTTTCTTTTCAAGTCAAGAAAAAAAGTCTTATATTTAGAATTTCATTTCTTTTTTTTCATATGTTGTTATCAGGACTGTAAGGCTTTTGGAACTGTACTCTAATATTTAAAAAAATCATTTTCTGTCTCTGTGTGTTGAAGTATGTGAGTGACGATGTTTCCCTCTGGTTGTGATATGTCTTATGCTAAGTCTTACAAACCACAAGTCTGGTTGTTAGTGGTGAATACATGCCAACTTGTTTAATTTTTAATTTAAAAAGTTAAGTGTTTTAGTTGCTAAGCTAGTCTCTCTCAGGATTCCCTTGGTGGTCTTGCTATGTTTTCTTCTGAATTTTCAGTTCCCACATGAGAACCACCTGTTTCAAACTGAGGTTGTGGGAGTAGGGGGAAATTTCCTTCTGCATTTGCTAAAATTCCTTTAAGTGACTTTTTCTTTATTAGATCATGAATGTTGTGACCTATTAGTTGTGTGGTAGAAAACCAGCATGGTGGTTAGCGAGTAGTAGATGGAAGGATAAATGTGGCTTTTGTGGACTGTAGTAAGTTAATTGAAAGGATCTTTGATCCATTCTTCCATTCAATACATTCTTTAAAGTGATGATAACATTTTAGGTTGGAAATTATTATTCTTCAGAGTTTTGAATGTACTTTTCTCTTCTATTTCAGCTCCCCATATGTTAGTGGCTGAATTATGTCCCCCTCAAATTCATATGTTGAAGCTTTAACTCCCAATGTAAGTAACCATATTTGGAGATAGGGCCTTTAATGAGGCATAAGGTTAAATGAGAGAGGCATATACCATTAATTTAGTATGACTGACCATGTGAGAACGCAGTGAGAAGGCAGCCACCTGCAAGCCATGGAGATTAGCCTTGGGAGAAACCAAACCTACCAACTCTTATATCTTGGACATCTAACTGCCAGACTGTAAGAAAATAACTTTTTCTTGTTTAAGCTACATAGTAAAGGAATACCTCAGGCTAGGTTATTTATATTTTAAAAAAAAGAGGTTTATTTGGCTCATGGTTCTGAAAGCTGTACAAGCAGGGCATCAGCATCTGGCTGACTTCTGGTGAAGCCCAGGAAGCTTTTAGTCATGGTGGAAGGGAAGGGGAGCTGGCATATCACAAGGTGAGGCAGGGAGCAAAAGAGATGCCAGGCTCTCCTGAACAGCCAGCTCTTGCATGAGCTCATTACTGTGGGGAGGACACCAAGCCATTCATGAAGGATTGAAGGATCTGCCCCCATGACTTGAACACTCTCCAATCTGACATCAAGGATCACATTTCAACATGAGACGTGGAGGAGACAAACACCCAAACCATCTCAGCTACCTAACCTGTGGGGTTTTGTCATGGGAATCATGGCAGATGTGTTACTGTGGAGAATATGAAGTCATTCTGGTTCCTTTTATTTTGCTGATTGTGGTACATCTCTGACATGGGTGTTCAGAGAGTTGTGACATGCCTTGGCTTGGAACTATCTTTATGCATTTTGCTGGGATAAGTTAGGAGGCTCATGTTCTTTAATGATAGATGTTCATGAATTTTTCTCAAATATTGTCTTGAAATATTTATTTTATCCCTTCTCCTCCTTAGTTTTCATCTTTTTCAATTGCCCCTATTATTTAGAGATTGTGCCTCAAAA